AAAACCACATGCTCCGATACCAAAATGTAACACCCCAACCCGCATAACCCGAACCAACGGGGTAGCGAACCAGGTTGTTACTAAATTGGTATTCGCATGCATAATTTATAAAAAAAATAATCAACTGAATAAATTATAAAATTCATCTGTGAGAGTTCGAAACTAAACCAAAATTTATCGGAGTAATAAAACAAGTCCAAACGTCGCGGAAGCATAATAAAACCAAAGTAACGTCCAACAGTCCATATAACCAAATAAAATAATGTAGTTTAATTATTTAAGTAATAGGAGCCATCCACGCCGCACCACCACCTCACTGCCCTCCGGGTTGCCCATCAGAATCTGTGTTCCTACCTGCGTGCAGTCAAACAACAACGACTACACGCTCAGCGAATTGCTGAGTGAAAATATACCTAAGCTAGCATTAACTCACAGAATAGCACCACGTTAGCATACAAATAACAACAGCATGTGATCGCGGAGAAAAACAGCTTAAATAAACATATTTATTTTAACACCTTTCATTTGAATATCATGTCCTTATTTTATTTCACATCAACTACTCTGAGTCATGGCACCCCAAGCGATGCTATAAAAGGGCCAGCTCATAAACCCAAAGGAGATTCACTTTGGGCGGGTTGAAGCCCCTGTCCCTGCGATGCCAGGCCAGGTTGCGGACTTCCTTACGTACGTTTTTAACCCAAGACCCCCGGGGGTGCAACGACGCCCCGCAAAGGCCACTTCCTAGCATATCTTATTGGTGATTCAATAAGTCAATCCAATTCAGGCCTGCCTAATTATACTAGGTGGCATAATTCCTATTTATCATTCATAATCCACAATATTCACCAACAAGATCAATTTAATTTAAATCTCAGTTCACAATTCACAACAAGTCACGTAGCGGCCTATCCGGGCCAAACACCCGCGATTACCGTCATGCATAACCAAACAACCCGAATTGCAATTAACCCAACTTACCTGCGCGGAGTCGAGACCAAGGAATCGATCCTCGGGCCCGCTGCCCCCGCCGGAGTAGTATCATTCACCACCGGATCAGCCGACAACCTGCCGGACCGACCTGGCAGCCCCAACTTGCTGCCCGTTCAGGCAGCCCCACTCAACCGGCCCAACGCTGCCGGCCCAACGGCCCAATGCAGCCGGCCTAACAGCCGGACCCACCGGCCCAACACCCCGGACAGTCGGTCCCACGACCTGGTCAGCCCCAACTGCCCAGACAGCCCCAATTGAATCTAAACCGACCCGTTTGCACAAAAATCAATCCCAATTGAAACCCGAATTAACCCGATTTAACCAATTGGGTCCAAATCAAACCAATTGGGTCCAAATTGGACCCGCCGGAAACTGCCCGTACGCCGGCTGTAGCCACCACCGGCCAGCCGCCGTCGAATCGCCGGAAAACAGCCCCCAACACAACCCCA